AAGTACATGGTTTTATTGAACAACACTGTTAAATACATAATGTAATATGCCTATATTATAACAAATACCTGCAGAGGGTGCCAACGGCCTGGTGATGTTTCATGTATTTCAACGACGTTTAAATCCATTTAATTTTAATATTTGGCCACATGCAAATTCAAACTTTTATTTTGAAATCGCAACACAATAAATCACATATTTAGAAATATGTTGATGTATTCTCCTGTGTTGGCATAGGTTTAAATGATTTGCGTTACTTACACATACAGACTTTACTGGTAATTTACCATTAAGAGATCATGTGTGAACATGACCTTTTCATAGGTGAATGCATTCTGGCAATCATATCATTCTTATGGAGATGACGTGATTACTCTGAGCTGTTTACAAAGCTCCGCTGCTTTTTTAATAGCTTTTCTATGTAAATATGACGCTAGATGGAAATCTTTGACCATTGCGCCACACAACTTTTTCAATGTGTCGTGCTCGAGACCCAGGCTTCTTTTCCATTCATCAGCTGCGCCTCTGTAATTGGATACTATTATGCGTGTCTCGTGTTTATAAGAGCAAAAACTTCTGATTGGCTAGTAATGTTAGTTTTGTTGAGAGTGAAAGCTGTGTTCCTCTCATACATTGGTAGGCGCACTCATGAACTCGAACGTGATATCAACAAGTGTTTTTAAATGTAGGAGTTTTTAAATGTAGGACGACTATCTTTTTTTCCCGCAGCCAAACGCAGCACACTGGAGATCCGGCACGGTGCCGGAGAACTTTAAGCCCTGGTTCATTCTCATTACAATTCCTAATAAAGGGCCCAAGGAAAATAAGATTTGCTTTTAGCTTCCAGGGTCTTGATGATAGGTCACCAGCTGGGTCTCTGAGCACAGGAAGCTGGTAGGTGGTTCATTTTCTTTCTTTGGTTGCAGTTTTTAGAGAGATTTGTAGTGTGCAACAAAAAAGAAAATAAAAATGTCTTACCCAATTCTCCGTGGTGGACTCAAAAACTGGCCATAAAGTCAACATGAAATGGCATCTGCAAACCATTTTACTTCTGTAATGTGATTTATTGCCAGGTAAAAAAGAATAAGAAAAAGTGAATTGACAAAATAAGTGGATTGGTGGACAGTCAAGATTACAATGACAAGCACTTTTCCCTCTTTGAATAAAATGTAAACTGTAAACGAGGCCATTTTCATTTCATGCTGACTTCACATTGTTTTAGGGAGGGAGAATGTGGTCCCTACATGACACTAAAAAATGCAAATGCTCATTTAGGGCATATTATGAAAGATGTATTAAGATGTGGCGGTGGCGTTTCTCAACCTGCTCACACGCTCAGGTCTCTGGCTGAACTGACAAACACACTGTAATTACAATCAGTAACAGCAGAGAGGCTCAAGCATTACATCTTTGTCACACTCAATGCAACACCCTCTGTAACAGTCATGAAGAGTGCTTAACATCACAAGAACTGGCCTACAGCACCTTACAACTGACCAACAACACTCACAGAACAGCAGTCGACAAAGTAAACAGCAAAAATAAACCTCAACATAGCAGGAAAATAGTATAAGCTAAAAACATGGAGAGTAGATTTTTAAACATTTAACTTTAATATACTTATTCCATGGTAGAACTGACTTTGTAAAAGAAATTAAAATATATGATAATAATAAAAAAAAAAGGAAGAATAAAGAAAAAAAAGAATCTACACTTTTGCTGAATTAATTTCTCATCACATGACTGGTTAAAGAAAGAAAGAAAGAAAAAAAGAAAGAAAGAAAGAAAGAAAGAAAGAAAGAAAGAAAGAAAAAAACAAATACAAAATATTTTTATTATACATGTGTATAGACATGTTTAATTGTGTACTAAAATGATGTTGACTGTTATGATCAAGTGGTTAGCACTAAATACAGGTGCAAACGTGATCCGATAAATCATATAAATTTGAAGGTAGTCAAAAACATACATAACCACATATTATCTGTTGTGTAAACATTGTAATTTGATTGAGATAAAAGCTTCAGTTTATTTAAATACTTTTTGTGCTATATCAATACTGTAAGTAATCTGATTCAGATTCGAAATCTGATAACAAGTGGTGACAGGAGATGAATTTGATATGCAGGTTAATGCCAGGAGTAAACTGCTGGATGACCGGACACAGATGCAGGTGTAAACAGGGTCTTTGTTGTGGAGCAGTATCTCCAGCCTCCAGAACTCTACAATACTGCCAACTGCATGGATAACAAACCCATCAGAAGTGTATCAAGTGCTGAGAGACGTGTACTCACCCTCGGCTGGCTCTGGGTCAGTGAACGAAGCCTCCTGGCTGCTGACAGGCTGATTGTGCCTGCTCTCCTCCTCCACGTGCTTACACACTCTACAGGTGTACCCATCCTGCATCTGGGTGTCAGGGTCAGCACCCTCCTGCCTGTCACAGTCCACATGAACCCATCTGATAGAGAAACACACAATAAACAACCATCTGTGACAACCATCAATGCACCAAATCAAGGTAACAGCTTTTGCCTAAATCCAACATTGTTTTATTTACGCTGATACTAATTGTTAACCTGAACAATAGAGGAATTTCCAGTGTTAATACATATTAAAGCTCTATGTACAGCACCTAAAGCAGAAACATGTAGCACAAGGTTTTGTTAAATAAAAATGTGCTATTTGAGCTATAGTTCTTGCATCCACATGTGTACATTTTGTACACAGACATCGTTCACTACAGAAATCAGTTTCGGTTTTTTAAGTGCCTTACGCCATGAGCACTGCAGTGTTTTCCATTAATACCCTAGACTCCGGCCACAGTCTAAATTTCTGGTTCGACCAATGCTGTGACTTTGAGGCTGGACTATCTATTTGGCCAACCAATGGCAGATGGAGGGAGTATTTGGGAAATCTGACTGAAAATTGTCATTATCTGTGTAATATCATAGGGTGATGCTAATGGAAACACATATGATATGCAAGCCAACAAGGTGGAAAATGGGTGGGAAATGCAAAGGAAAACACCCAAGTTATGTTACCGTAACATAACTACAATAGTCAATAGTTAAATGCGATGAACTTTGAACTAATAAAGTCAGTCACAAATTGTAACTCTCGATACATGACAGATCAGATCTGATTAGCTGTTGTGTAAAGACTCCATCCACATTCATGACACATGATGTGGCACACGATTACATGACTGACCCATGGTCAGTTCTCAAAGCAAGAGAATCAAATCAATCTGCCACACAAATTATATGAGCATCTTTTCATTCACAAAGACATAATTGAGCCACTCTCTAAAGCTGCCGGTTCAATTACAGTGTTCTATGCAGACTAGGGATGCTCATATTGACTGTTTAAAAGTCAAAATTTTGACCGATTAATACTATCAGTTAAAAGGTTTAAAAGGTTTTAAAAGTTTTTTTTTTTCCCCAGTATTATTTTAAGTTTGCTGCATTGTTAAAGAAAAATATTCTATATGTATTTGTTAAGTCACGGGGGCGTCGATACATGCAACCACAAGTGCCTACAGACATTTCGCTGCGCAAGCACCTGCTCTACTTTCACTTAACTGAAGTAATAAAGGAAACACAATGGCAAAAGGCAATATTGGATAAATGGTTATCAGAGAGTGAATCCGTGAGTGAATGTATTCAAATTCTGAGTGGGTTATATCCTAGAAAGCGCACAAAGAGTGCTTCCCCTTATTATCATTAAAAAGCTGTCACTCATCTCTGTTCTTCGCGATCTCACCAAGTTCCGTTATATTTAATGAAGGTCTAAACTACTGCACAATTAACCTCTTATTTACATCGTGTGTACATTTTGTTTGTTCTAATGAGAGGATTCGCGAGCATGCACAACTCAGAAACACTGAACAAAACTCCTGCTTTATGAGCAGTGAGTAGATACTAAAGTAAACACCTCTGATTGGCCATTGCATTCATGAAATCAACAGATATGTCTGTGATTGGCTACAATGCTCAACGCTGCAGAAACCGGTGTTGTCTGTCACAGAACAGGCTGCGCTCAAGACTATGCCCCCACAGGACGTCGACACGTACATTTTAACGTAAAAAAACTTTACGTCTTTCACAAACGTAAAGTTGTGATCTGAGGTAGGCCTGCTATTTATTTTTGTGTCTGAAGAAAAAACATGCGGTTCTTCAAAGCGCATAAAAGGATTCAGTGTGTGTTTTCGTTTTGTAATCTTAATATGTTAATTATTTAAGTGAAAAATATTTTGTGAAGGCCTATTTATTTTATTCTTTTTATTTATATTATTTTATTCCGTTTTTCTTTGTTTTCAGAAACTTTTAACGGATCACAGACACTCGTCCATTCTGTTATTTATTTAATACTAATTTAATATTCAAATCTTCTCGGTTAATGTTCGGATAACGAGCGGCGGTTGTCAGTTGGGAAAATTAAAGGGGTCATATGATGCGATTTCAATTTTTCCTTTCTCTTTGGAGTGTTACAAGCTCT